CTTTCTTTCTTTCTTTCTTTCTTTCTTTCTTTCTTTCTTTCTTTCTTTCTCTCTTCATTCTTTCTTTCTTTCTTCATTCTTTCATTCTTTTGTTCTTTCTTTCTTTCTATAGAGTTTCACTATGCCATTCAGGCTGGCCTTGAACTCACTTTGTAGCCCAGGCTGGTCTGGAACTTTTACAATGATTCTTCTATCTCAGCCTCCTAAGTGTTGGGATTACAGGCATGCACCACCACACCTGGCATTTTGTCCAGTTTTACACTGGCTTATCTTTTTACTATTGAATTGCAGGAGTTCTCTGAATATCCCAAATATAAGTCCTTTTTAGTAGATACATGGTTTGTGAGTATTTTCTCCCTTTTGTGAGTTGTTTTTCATTTTCTTTCTTTTTTTCCCATAATTTTATTGATAAACAAATAGCAGTGAGACAGTTTCAAATCAAATTGGTAGGACAGTTTCAATAATTAACATATTGCATACATTCTTCCTAGTGGTTAATTTCTGTACAAGATGCAGACATGATATCCTATTTACAAACACTATTAGAACAAATCAATCTATTCATTAAGAGAATGTAACTATATATCTATCCTAACCACTTTGAATACACAGATACAAAATGGACATACATCTGTATACCCTTTTTTTGTTAAGTTTCATTATTTGAATATTATAGGTGTATTAACTCAGCAAAATATTCTAAAAGAGTCCAGTAGCCCATAATAGTATTGGGTCTTCCGCTTAATTGGCAATGTCAGAAATTGTTGACCTTTGTCCCCTACAGCTCAGCATAACAGCATGGCTTTACTTCTTATATTTCACTTTTATACTTTTGTGCTGGATGGTTAAGACCAAAGTAAAGCAGGACCTATGCAACAAGAGTTGTAGCTTTTGGGTCTGATAAGGTCAGTGAAATCCCCTCAGGATTTATCCTGAGATCCTGTACCTCAGATTGTAGAACCTTTGTCAGTGTCAGTCAAGTGGATGAGTCACGGCCATTGCTTGGCCAATGTGCTCTCTGTGAAAGGCTGAGGGAATGTTTTCTCTCCATGTGACTCTCTTTAGGCACACTCTACATCATCGATCACTTTCCTCTTTGGCCCCATAATCTCCTTGATCAGAAAATTTGGGACACTGCCGAGTTATATGGTGTTACAGTACAAGTTCTCATATGTCCTGAGTCTTAATTGACCTTAGAAGGTTAGGGCCAAAATGTTGTTTTTCATTTTCTTGATTGATTAGGTTTTCTTTTTTTTTTTTTTTGGCGTAACTGGGGATTGAACTCAGGCCCTTGTGTTTGCCAGGGAGGCGCTTATTCTCCTGAGCCATCTCCCCGGCCCCCTTGATTATGTTTTCTGAGTACAAAAGAATTTGGTTTTGATGAAGTTCAGATTACCTGTTTCCTTTTGTCATTTGTGTTTTTAGTGTCCTATCAAAAAGGACTTTGCTTAATCCTGAGTTATAAGGATTATCTCCAGGTTTTCTTCTAAGTTTTACATTTTTAATTCGTGCATTTTTTAATTTATTTCTGGCTTTCAATGCCAGACAGCACAGATTTCAAAATACGACAAAGATTCAAAGAGCGGACTATGGCAGGATTATAGACTGGGTTTACTTTAGATTCACAGCTGAGATATGAAGAGTTGAATGAAAATTAGAGTGAATAAGCCACTGTATGATTTTTTTCCTTCTTTTTTCTTTTTTACAAAATTTTATTCTTAAGCATACAACAGACTCCAAGAATACACCTCATTCCAGTTATAGGTGTCAAAAGATGTTACAGTGGGGCATCCAGGTATTTGCATAGGAACGGAATCCACGGTCATCATCATCATGCACACAAGGAACAGTGATTTATTTATTTATTTATTTGTGATTTTTTTTCTATATTTCTTAATTCTACTTGTGGCCAGGGGGCCTTTCCCCCGGTCTTTGTTTTTTTTTTTTTGTAAACAATAGAGCTTTATACAAATATAAAGTTATGCACTTTTCAAGTCCCTACTCCAACAGACACTTATTCAATTTAACAAACATCTTTAAAATATTATGACAATGTACAAATACATTCACAACATAATCTTCCAATTAAGATTCCAACGAACTTTACAGTATCTACAACAGAATTTATAGATGCCTACAACAGTTTGTAGATTGGTTTAGTTTAGTTACATATATTGCCTTAAGAAATACCATTAATACAAACATGTAATTTACAATACCCCCATTGCAGCAGAAAAAACTAGATTCATAAAGTAAAATGTCTTGTAGGCATTTATTATGCCAAATATTCAAAAGATTATTCTCATTATCATAAGAATAATATTCTTTTAGTAGTAAAAGATTTATTAGTGTAAGAACCACAAAAGGGAGTTTCAGGAATCTTCCAAAGCAAAATTTCACTATCCTTTCCCTAAAATAAACCAGTAGCAATCCCTGGGTACACCTTAAGCATAAACTATGATGATTCTGTTTAGATATTATTGTCCTCAAAAATAAAAACATAATTTGAAAAATGAGTCAACACTACTAGCCTGGATTTTTTACCTGCTTGCATGTATTTCTAAAATAAATTTCACCATATAGTACATATTAACTTTCTTAACCCATATACAATCCAAAATACTCATTTTTACATAGAATCAAAACTTACTTTGAAAATAATCTACAGAAATAATATGTAAACACACAAAATTTGAAACAGACTAAGAACACCCTCCTATGCTCTATGGATCAAAATGTAATGATCTGTTACATATGTATATAAACACATTATTTTGGGATATACTGCCATTACATGGCTGTGCATACACATGTATACTATAAAACAAATATCAAAATGTTTCTGATACTATACTTTCTAGCCCCAGAAAATAGAAAAAAACTAAAAACAATATGAAACCTGTTTCATATTTTTTAAATAAAGTTTTTAAGTAGAAAACAAACCCAACATGCCTCTTTGCAAAACAGATGGATCTCTAAACAGTTCAGAATCAAGAATCTCTTCAATTATTCCCCAAGGTAATAGAACACGTAAGTTTTCTCTCTACTCAGGAAGTCTGGTCATCTCCAGTATTTTGTCTTAAAAACTGCTTTCCAAGATACGAGGTTGCCATGCTGGTTAAACTCTTCCTGCTGCCCACCTTACATCTGATGTAACCATAGAGGTTGGCACCTTGCAGCACCACACCCGTGATAACCACTGCCAACCACTTTACTCTGAAGGAGAAGAGAGCACTGAAGGCAAATATCACCCACAGGACTGGACAGGCAATAAGTCCTAACCAAAATATTCTTGATTCAGCCTCTGAAACACTTTTACTCTCTTGAGACGTTGCCTTCCTGGACTCAAACACCCAGTGGCTCTTTCCATCCTCATCAATATGATTCCACCAACGCAGACCAACCATTAGTCTACCTGTGACATTCTTCACTGCCCAAAAGTCACATGATAACAACAAGATAATGGTGACCACACAGGCAATAAAGCTGCTGCTGAGCAATTCACATAGAAGATAGACTATAATCGCACTCACTCGAAAGAACAAATGGAAAAATGATGCCACTGGATGTCTGATTTTGGATCTTTTAGGTCTACGAGCTGTCTCTTTTTCTGCATCAAACAGTGAAACATCTTCAGCGTCATCATTACTGTCCTGCTGCAACATGGCGATCCCGCGCCAGCCCCGCTTCCGGGGGCCACGTCAGCGCCCCGGTCTTTGTTTTTTAGCTTCTGAAGTTTCTTCTGCTCCTCCTTTTGCTTCTGTTTGACAAGGAGGTTTGTTAGTACAAACTGTGCTTCAGTGATTAGTATTACCTTTTTGGTATATGCACAAAACTGTTGCACTATTTGTGTTCTGAGGAACTGGTTGTATTTACAAATCCTCTTAACAGGACACAGTAGTTGACTAACCTGCTTTATTCAAGTTTTAACTCCCTTTCTTTCCTGAGAACCTCTCTCCCACATTTTCTTCTTAGGTAGCATAAGCTGACATATGCATCATTTTTTTTACATCTGCCTCTTACTGGATGATTTTATACTCTCTTAGGTAGAATGCCTGATTTTGGAGACAATTTCATAACACTAGGTGTTTTAGATCTTGGGTTTTGAAACCAGATCATGTTTCACATTCTGAGTCTCACACTTTTATTGACCATAAATTTTTTTACCTGGAAACTGGAGAAAGAATTATTGTGTCCTCTATAGAGTTTTAGTAAAAATGAAATAAAATAATGTATACAGAGTGTTTAACATATTTGGTACTTGATTTATGAATTTAGTTCCTTTATGTTCCTATAAAAAAAAATACCAGGGACTAAGTATGAAGAATTTATTTGGCTCATAGTTCTTGTGTTTGGAAATAGTGCTCTTGGAGCAACCATGGTACAGATGTCTTGGAGGGGCCCCGGGGTTCATGACAACATGGCGGGAAAGAGAAAAGGAAAAGCCACAAAAGGGCGAGAGTATTAGAGAGCAAACTGAACTCACTTTGCAAGACCCTGTGATCTTGGGAACTAATCCAGTTCCACAAGACTTGCCCTGGCCCCAAGCCTTAATCCATTGATGAGCGCAGAGCTGCTATGACCCAGTTGCCTCCCACCAGGCCCTGTCTCATTTTATTTCATTTGTGTCCTGGGGATCAAACCCAGGGCTTGTGCAGCTAAGTGAGTTCTCTCCTGCTAAACTACATCCCAGACCGCAGACCTTCTAACATCCTTGCTTCCAGCACATGGAAGAAACTTCAGGGGACAAACCGCCTACAGACCATGCATAACACTATATAAAAGAAGAACACAACCCTTGGAAAAAATAAGGCATGACTGTTGTTGGGAGTCATGGAAGCTGGAAAATTGGTCAAATGTATGTAGGTGGGACTAGACCTCAGTGCCTAAAGCAGATAATCTACCTCAGTCCTGAGATAAGCATCTTGACTGGTTAATGTCAGCTATTAATCACTGAGCAACCGTGTGTCATGTGTTACTAACTTTGCAAAGGTATAAATGTCTATATTGTTGCTCGGGGGTCATCTCATCAACCAGGCAGATGAGTCACCACTTAACCCAGCTCTTGTCTTCTGGTCTATCTTTTCCTCATTTCTGCCACCATTTCTTCCTGGGGAAGAACGGATCACACTGAGAGACCAACAGACCCTTACATTCTGTAAGTTCCATAAAGGTGAGGACATAGATCAGCTGGGCCCTCTACGCTGCCCCCCCAAAGCCTGATCCATGGTCATGTTTAAAGACAGTGCTTTTGAAGACCACAGGTATGCTTGCTTTTAGTAAGAATCTAAAATCCATTCTGGATCACGCATTGAAATGAAACTTGAAAGCTGTATTTTTGCTATATCATCATCATCATCATCATCATCATCATCATCATCATCACTTTGCTAAAGAAGTGAACAAAGTGATGGCTAATGACAGATAGGACACAGCTGTAGTAGAAGTGAGCTCCTCTACTTCATATGCTAGCAAGTACACAAGACAGCATAACAGGACAGTTTTTGAGTAAATGAACAGAATATATTCTTTAGGAGCTGAGGAGATATCTCAGTGTCACAGGTGCCTGCCCTGCAAACTCAAGGTCCTGAGTTCAATTCCTGGTTGAAAAAAAAAAAAAAAGATTTAAAATGAAGTTTTAAGGGCTGGCCAAATGGCTCAGTGGATTAAAGCACCTGAAAGCAGATGTAGGGGCTGGGGTTTCAATCCCTGGGCTTGTGATGCGGGCTCTGCCCGCAGAGTCAGCTGAGACAGCGATTGAGACTGGGTGTGGTGGCGCTCGTCTGTAATTCCAGCACTTGGGAAGCTTTATACAGGAGAGTCACTGTGAGTCCAATCTAGTAGTGAGACCCTGAACACTCTGTAGACCTTTTCCTAAATACAGGGAAAAAAAGGAATATATTCTTTAATTGGAGTGTTGCTAAACCCTGTTGCATAGCGCAAGGTGTGTTTAAATGGTTTGCCTTTGCAAGATGCATTCTGTAGCATTCTTTTACCCTGAAAAGCCTGTGACCATCTAGGATTTAGTCATGGGATCCTGGATCAAAAGGCTGCTTTAGAATTTTGTTCTAAACACATAGCAGCAGGAGAATGTGAAGCTCTAATTACGAACTTCTTAATTAATGAAAATCCAAACAAAATCATAAATACACTGTAAATTCACACCTATGAAAATGCTTATTCTCATTTTATATTTTCAAACCAAATCATATTTTCAATGCTACATGCACAAGTGTTTTACCCAGGAAAGTTTTCTTCCCTGGTCATAACCCAGCCCCAGTCGGATGCCTTGCAAATCCATCCTATTGATCAAAGGGAAGTTCTCTGTGTGATTCCTTGCACAAATAGCTCTCAGGACTAGAAAAGTAGTGCAGTCTGCATGTCCTGCTGCTGAACAGTTCTGAGCTCTCTTTTCATCTGTGAAGGACTGAATATTTCATCAAATAATGCTTTCTTTCCAAGGGAACCTAGCATATTTTATTCAGAGTTACCCAAATTTACATTTTTCAGAACTTGAGGCTTTGAATCATTCAACTGTAATGCCAGATGCCTATTTGAGGGCTCCAGCATGATTTGATCTTAATTTGAAAATAAAGACAATTTCGTGCAATTTATTTTAGACTAAGAACTGTGGAGTTGAAAACAATTTCCTTAGGAACTACTGGACCCAGTGGTGTTCTAACTTATAGGACCACGTATCAATAAGCAAATTCTCCATTCAACTTTTTTCCCCTAAATACTGAGATTGAATTCAGGGCCTTCATATAGTATCTTTATTTTATTTTACTGTTCTGAGACAGGGTCTTAAGAGTGACTGAACAGGTTCCCAAGCTGAGTTTGAACTTGTTATCCTCCTGATTCAGCCTCCCCAATGTACCTGGGCCTTCACACCTTTCCTTTGGACTCAATATTGAGATCCCAGAGTGCTACTGTTGACCTGGATGAGGTACAAGTCTTATGGTTGAAGAACAATCTCCGGATCTGCAGAGCACTCTTTGGTATAAGGAAGCTGCAGCAATCTTTCATTAGACTTCAGCCCAGGGAGCCTACAGTGTTGGTCTCCAGTGTCTTGAGTCTTCACAGGATGAAGCAGGAGCAGGGGCTGCCTGAGGGGCCGGGAGATGGCCCAGAGCCCCAGGAGAGTGGCCAGAGACCCAGGTGGCTCCTGTCCAGGGTCCCAGCTTCCATCTACCTTCCAGGAACATGGCTGAACAAGGGCTGCTCACGCTTCTTGGGAGAGTCCGGAAGGGCATGAGCTCTTTAAAAACAAAGGCAAAGACAAATACATTGTGTCTTATTTTCATTCAGTTTAAGATTATGGTTCTTCGGGCCAGGGAGATAGCTCAGTGGAATAAGCGCTTCCCTGACAAGCGCAAGGGCCTGAGTTCAATCCCCGGTTCTGCAAAAAAAAAAAAAAAAAAAAAAAAAAAAAAAAAAAAAAAAAATTTTTTTTTTTTTTTTTTTTTTTTTTTTTTTTTGCAGAACTGGGGATTGAACTCAGGCCCTTGTGCTTGCCAGGGATGTGCTTATTCCACTGAGCCATCTCCCCAGCCTCTAGATTATGGTTCTTATAATCCAGTTCATTTCAGCCAGTTTGGAAAGTGAACGTAAGATCAGGAATCACATGGCACTCAAACCCATAGATTATGATTTAGCTGAGTCCCACAGAAGAAAGAAGCTTCAGCGCCAGATTCCAACTCTAGCTTTGCCCTGGTTTCCCAGTATTGTTGAGCAAGCGAACTTAACCTCTGTGGGGCCTGGGCTCTTCCTGAGGTGCTGTTTCTTTATTTTCAAACAGGAGTAACAAAACTTGTTTTAACTTGGTTTGTTTTCATAATCTGATGGTGTTACACATATAAAAATTCTCTTTAAATATTTAACAGAGCTAAAAAGGTCTTTTTTAAGAATAAAGCCTAGCCACTTATACATAGAAAGTGTCTTAAAATCTTACATAAAATGAAGTAAAAATTAGAAATATAGAAGAAAAGATGAGGCACCATGTGATTGTTCTACTAGACATTATAGGAAAGGCGGGAAGCTAGTGTGTTATTCAGATTCTTGGGCAAAAGAAGCACAAAATCCATACATGAATACTGATCTGAGAGACAAGCCATAGAAAGCGGTTGCATTTTCGACAAGTTAGCAAAGGCCCCGTCTCAGTAGTGAAATTTCTTGCCTTACCTGAGCTGAGGTCACCTGAGTCATCGCCAGGAGATCAGCAAGGGCCAGCTCTGCCACTTCCCGTCAACAGTCAACAGTGGCCTCTTCGGCATCAGGAGCTCGTTGGCTTCAGCTTTCATTGGGGGATGACAATCACACAGTGAGCTTTGCTGGCTTATGTTAAAGCTTGACCTGGTTGTGCTTAGCACCCTACTGATGGCACAGAGGGGTGGTGCAGATTTTACTGGAAAGTTTCTTTTTCTTTTTTTAAAAATGTGTTTTAGTACAGAGTCTACAGTGTCTACAGGATCTCACTACACATATTGGACTTGTAGTGTTCCTCCTGTTTTCAGCCTCCCAAACGCTGGGATTAGAGGTGCATACCACCACACGCAGTCTCAAGCTTTTGCACTTTCAATGTGCCCCCCCGGGGGGGGGGGCAACATGGCATGCCAGGGACTGAACGCAGGGCCCTGTATCTGCCTAAGCAGGTGCTTTAATTGGC